CGAGCACTGGAGATGTGGCTAGTCTGAACCAAAATGTTCTGTCAGGTGTGAATACAGACTGGATTTCAATACTCTGCAGGGAAAAAGGTAAACTCCCTCATCAATAGTTTTCACTATTGATCACATACTAAAATGATATTACAGACATGATAGGTTCAGTAAAGCGTGAATATCATGATTCATCGTAGCAGTTTCTTACTTTGTGGCTCCTGGGTAACTGAACGGTCCCCCTTTCTGGCTCACATTACACTTCTGCTGCACAGCACCCCTCCACTAGCACCTGCGGTCATAGCTTCTGCTCCGAGCTGGGCTCACCCTCCTCATCCCCCGGCCTCAGGGCAGAACCAGGGTGCAGCCTGTCCCTCACACCTGCCCATTCACTCTGCACAGTGGGTCTCACACGTCCCCCTTCTCCTCCAGCTCCCGGGACACTGGCCCTCTCCCCGCCTTGCCGTCAGCTTCAGGGACAGCTTAGCTCTTTACCTCCCCCCAGGAGCAAGCCCAGAAGGTTAAGGCAGGAAAAGACCTTGCATACCATCTAGTGCAAATCCCACATGCTAACATGTGAGGACCCTGACAGCCAGGATCACAGACCCTGTGAGGAAGCAGAGAGGCCCCAGAGCTCACCTTGTCCAATTTCCTACCCCACGCAGGGAGACCTCCTCCAAAGCACTCCTAAGGTGTCCTACACAATGAAATCCTGCAGTTCTGTGCAGCGCTCCGTAATGAGACAGATCAGATCAGACTAGTCTGCCATTGCTGCAGAGGGCCTGGCCTGCCTTCTGGACATGAGAAAGCCCCCCTTCACAGGCAGGGGACACTTCCTCCTCCAGCCACTACTGACATACAGCAATGGCAAGGCATGACGCATTTGCTCCCTTTCAAAAGCAGCGCCACAGAGTACTGTGGACTAAGGTTTTTCTTTCCCCCTTTTTTTTGAAAAAACACTGAGCTTTTTTTTTTTTTTTTTTTTTTAAGAGAAAAGAGAGATCTTCTATCTGCTGGTTCACTCTCTGAATGCTGGCGACAGCCAGAGCTAGACCAGGTGGAAGCCAGCAGCCAAAAACTCCACCTGAGTCTCCCACTTGGGTGGCAGGGTGCTGGCATCCCACTAGAGCAGTTTCAGTCCCTGCTGCTCCACTTCTGATCCAGCTCCCTGCTAATGTGCCTGGGAAGGCAGCGAGAGATGGCCCAAGCGCTTAGGCTGCCACCCATGCTGGAGACTGAGACGGAGCTCCAGGCTCCTGGCTTGGGCCTGGCCTAGATTTTGGCTGTTGTGGCCGTTTGGAGAGTGAACTAGCAGATGGAAGCGCTCTTCTCTCTCTCTCTCTTGCTCTCGCTCTACCTCTGCCTTTCAAATAATAAAATAAATAAAAATCTTTGGGAAGCAAACAAAATCAGTCCTAGAATTGGGCAAGGGGCTCCTAAGAGGCTTCTGTCTGCCATTTCTAGGACCTCGCTCTCTTGTCCCTGGAAGAAACAACAAATCAGCAGTGCACTGCACACCATCACCCCCACTCTCCTCCCAGGTCCTGGCTGAGAGCACCTGGCAACCTGAACGCAGGAAGACACTGAGGTCTGACACTCACTTCTGCTGTGCTCCTGACCAAGACAAAGGTAGGGTGAGTCCTACGCCGCCCAGAGCATTCCACCACCTGCTGTCTCGCCCTGACCGTGGCTGAAGACATGAGAAATCCCATCACCCTGTCCGGCCAACCCAGACTTGCTGCCTCCCCACCTAGAGCTCTGCCTGCTGCACTATGCTGCCTCCCCAGCACTACTACCCAGGGCTCCCTGCCCGGATGGAAGTCAGGCCTTCTACCCTGGTCAGGGCCATTCACGGAGGCATCTCGGGGGCTCAAAGGAAAGGGGAAGACAGTTCTGGCAGGGGTGAGCCCGGTGGAAGTGAGGCTGGCAGCCACAGTCCTTTACTCCCGAGACACAAAGCACAACAGAGGGCCAAACTAAGGGCTCAGGTTTCACTGTGAGTCAACAGCCCCCTTAGGAGGAGAGCCCCACCCCAGAGGCCCACCCTGTGTGTCACCAGCCCCTCCCCGTGCCCTTTGCACTGCCCACAACTCTCGACCGGATATGCAATCCCATCCCCCAGGAGGGTCACCCCGGCCTTAGCACAGCTCCCATTTCCTGCGCCTGGTGACTCTTCTGAAGTCCATTGTTCCCACGAAGTTTGGGTCAAAGGAAGCCAAGTCCCCACCCATGGGGGCCCGCCTGTCCTGCCAAGGCACTAGCCCACACTCCAGGGAGCCTGGCCCAACCTCCAGCCTCTTCCAAGAGCCTGTGTGGGAGAAACGCAGGGGGACCCAGCCGCACACAGGAGAGGCTGCAGTTCCAGCGGACATTCCCCCACCCAAAGATCCAGTCCCCAGCAGGGCCATGGGGCCACAGCACACAGGTGTGCTTAGAATCTCCCCAGGCCAAAAGCAAGCGAAGAAGGATCCTTTCAGCAGAGGTCAAGGTGGGGCTGGAATTGGAACCTGGGAGCTGGAGCTCCTGTGTTCCCAGCCCTGCCTGCCCTGCCCCCACTTCCACCTGGGCCCCTGGGCTGGCCGCCCAGCCTGGGGGTGCGGGTGGGGGGCAGTGCTGGAGAGCAGCTGTTCAGCTCCGATTTCAGAGCTGTGTCGTCCCAACCCCAGGCCAACAAAGGGCCATGGGGGCAGAGGAAGCAGGCAAGGGAAAGCGGCCCTTCCAGGCCCTGACTCTCCAGCAGCCCAAAGACTGGCCTCAGGCAAGGACCACCGCGGGGCACCAGCATCCTCCGCCTCCCCTGGGGAGGAGGAACAGGAGCCACAGTCCTGTCAGTAGGCACTGCTTCGTGATGGTGACCACCAACACTCCAGAACCGAGGCCAGAGGCGGCTTCGACCTTTGCACGCCCGGCAAAGACAGGGAGACCCCTCGGCCACCCAGAGTGGGAGAGCGAGGGTGTGCTTTACAGAGCTCACGGGGACCCCTGCACCCCGGCATGCTCGGATTCTACAGGAAAACGGCTCCTTCCCAGCAGCCCTGTGACCGGGGAGGGCACTTCCACCTCCTAACAACCTGCTCTGAGCCACAGGATGGTGGACTCGGCCCAAGGCAGACTGCTCCAGCCTCCACCTCGGATGAAGGGGGCTGGGGAGGTGTGGGAGGGTGTCTGAGAGCCGGGGTCCATGAGGCAGCAATGCAAAGTGAAGAGCAGAGGCTCCAGCCAGCCCCCAGTGCCCCTGTAGGGGGCCTTGGCTTCCCCTCCTTTAAAATGAGGGAGTTGGATGCACTTTCTCCCCAATCAGAATTAGAACCCAGGAGTTGGGGATTCTGTTTCCAGCAACCAAGCGACACAGGCACCCCAGCACCAGCCCCCTTCACAATGAAGAAAGAACACACGGGTGCAGGGCCCCCCTCATACTAAATGCTCCATTCAGGCCGCTCAAGGAACAGGATAAAGAACAGGGCAAATAACAGGGCAGTTTCTCAAGGAGTGTTCAGAGAACCGCTAATTGGAAAAACACTAATCCCTAGGAAAATAAAGAGGCTCCTCCCAGAACCAGCTGAGGAAGCCCAAGAAGCCATGTGCCATGAGGCAGGGCTCGGGGTTTGAGGCACTCCCCTGGCGGGTGCCCTGCAAACACTGGATTCACAACCAGCCTTCCACACGGGTATCCGAGCTCTCCTCCCACCACTCTACGCACCAGGAAACAGCCTGAGCGCCTCGGAGGCACCGAGTGACTGTCAGGATTTGCACCCAGGTGTGTCTGACCCTGTACCCACTCAGCATCATCAAAGCTGCTTTTAGATCACCACCTGGGCAGGTGTGACGGGTGTGTGGTGTTTCCCTGCTTCTACGTCCTCAGGACAGAGGCAGGAGCCCTTACAGGAGCTTCCCCGGCTCGCTGTGGGAATGAGCTGCGATGTTAGGTCTGCCCGTGCCAATGCCTGTGCCAGCCTCCCGGACACCAGGGGCAAACCCGAGGCAGCCCATGAGCTCCCAGGCTGGCCCCAGATTCCCTAAGCAAAGTGCGGCGGCCTCTGGGAAGTCCTAACAAGCCATTCTCCCACTTGATTGCCGGTCAGCTCCATGGAGCTGGGACACATCTGTACAATCTTGTCGACGGACCAAACTGAAAGCACCATCCCCACAAGTCTCAGGAGTCAGGGAACTCCTGGCGCCCACCCCCACAGACACCCTCAAGCCCACCCTAGGCCCATCACCTACAGGCAGAGGTCAGCCTTTTCCCAGCTTGTTCCTCCAACAGGCAGAAACAAAACAACCAAACAGGGTCCACCCACTGGCAGGCCAACTGCCTGCAGGGGACAGGTGTCGCCAGCTCTACTCCTACCTCTGGCCAGTCCCCCAGGGAGAAGGCAGCCTGGAGGTCCACACACTCCAGCACCACACTTCAAAGGATCCTTGTGCTTCAAAAAGCTTATGGGGGGGGGGGGGGGAAGAATTTTTAAAAAGTAAGTTTATTTCAGTACGGAAAAAAAAGTTGAAATTCCAGCAATCTTTTCATAATAGGCATTTTTCCACGAACCTTTAAAAGAGCCCTTAATATGCATGAATTTCAGGGGGAGAAATGTTTTGCACCGAAATAAACTTTTCTCTTGGTTTCATTTCCCATGCACTTTCTGAAGCACGCCAGGACAACCAGAGACGTGGTCTCCGCCCAGGCTGTACAGGCAGTAGGAGCGGAAACACACACCTAACCCACCGCCCCCTGGCTCAGACACACCGCACCACAGTCCAGCAGGGACAGACACACGCTGTGGCTCAGGTTCAACACACACGCACACCTGGGAGGCACGCTGTTACCCGCACCCCCGAAGGGCAGCCCACGAACTCGCTCGCCAGTGAACCCCGATCTGCCAAGGGACCCCCCTTCTCCCCACTCATGCAAGCGCACAGAAGCGCGCGTTTGGGTTGCCGGCTGGCGAAGCAGGCGCTAAGAGTCACAGTTCTCTTTGGTCTGCTAGCCCCCATCACCGAACTTCAGAGTTTCTCACCCCGTGGAACAGTCACTACACCTTCCTCCAGCGCTGTCTTCCAGGCCCAAAAAGGGCCCAGCAGAAAGGGGGCAACGCGCTCTGGGGTCTTTTCTGGAGCCGCGTTCTCGGTGCGCCCTCTCTCTCCGGTCCTTTCGGCAACTTGGACCCCCGCCCCCTGCGAATCCCTGGCGTCTGCCCCACTCCCCAGACAC